ACTCAAACCCGAATCTCGATTTATCACTGCCTTTACCGTGCCCGGATTGGGGCATTTATAGTTCGTACGAATGCCATTCGGTCTCTCGTACGCCTGTGCCACCTTCCAACGGTTAATACGAGTAGATAGCGTGATCGGACATGAGTTTGGCGATTTCGCCTTCGCCTATTTGGATGATATCATCGTAGTATCGTCCAAATTCGAAGATCACCTGCAACATCTTAAAACCGTATTGGATAGGTTATGTCGAGCCGGACTCTCGATTAATCGAGAGAAGAGCATCTTCTGCAAACCTGAGGCTAAATATCTGGGTTTGTTGATTAACCGCAAGGGTATCAGGCCCGATCCTGAAAAGTTGCGCTCTATCGTGGAGTACCCACGACTAGGAAACGTGCGCCAGTTGCACACTTTCCTGTGGGTTGCTTCATGGTACCGCCGATTCTTGAGTGACTTCGCCACACACGCTCAACCGTTAACGAAATTGACAGGGAAAAAATGTGAGTATGTGTGGGGATCAAACCAAGAACAACCATTCGCCAAACTTAAGGCACTCATGATATCCGCACCGTGCCTCGGGTTACCGGAACCCGACGGATAGTACGTGTTGGAAACAGACGCTAGCGCTACGAGGATCAGCGCCGTCCTGATTCAAAGAATAGGAGACGGAGACCGGATCATCGAGTACGCTAGCAGAGTCCTTAACGCAGCGGAGCAAAATTACTCCGCCACGGAGCGCGAGTGTTTGGCGGTCGTATAGGCTATACAGACGTTCCGCCCATACATAGAGGCGTACCGATTCAAGGTGGTAACGGACCATAACAGTCTGAAATAACTATGCAATCTGAAGAACCCAATAGGACGTCTAGCCCGATGGGCGTTGCAACTCCAAGGCCATGCCTTTGAGATCGAGTATCGAAAGGGGCCCGACAACGTATTGCCCGACGCGTTATCACGCCCTTTTGAGCCCACGAAGGCTGAGGTTAGTGCAATGGACCAGCCGAAGCCAGAGGACAAAGCCTGGTACGCGGAACAGTTCCGGCGCGTCGAGGACAACCCAGAAGACTACCCGGACTGGAAAATAGTTGGCAAAGTGATGTATCACCAAAATCCAAGCTGTGACTACCAAGGCGAATATGGGTACGAGGACACTTGGAAACTTGTCGTACCGCCGGAAGACCGAAAGGCGGTCCTGTTCGAGAACTACAACCTTGAGACCGCGGGACATTTTGGACGCGAGAAGACCTTCGCCCGCGTCGCTCAATCCTACTATTGGCCAGGGATGTACGCGGACGTTAAAGGTTACGTCCAAAAGTGTCAGGTTTGTCAGCAGTGTAAGGTCGAACAGCAACTGCCGCGCAGACTCATAAGGGATCGGATGTTGTCCACACCTTGGCAAGTGGTAGCGGGCGACATCGCCGGACCCTTTCCAAGAAGCCCTCGAGGGCACGAATACGTATTAGTATTCATCGACTTATTTACGCGATGGGTCGAGTGCATACCTATTCGTAGTGCCAATAGTAAGACGATCGCGGAGGAACTCCGGGAACGGGTGATTCTGCGCTTCGGTGCGCCTAAGGTCTTCCTGTCCGATAATGGCACCGAATTCCGTAACCAGCTGGTAGACGGGTACCTGAGAGACCAAGGGATAAACCGGACCTTTACTCCGACCTATACCCCACAGGCTAACCCTACCGAAAGAGTTAACAGAACTCTGAAGACGATGATAACCTCGTACCTGCGCGGGAATCACAAAGAATGGGATCGAGTGTTATCTGAACTCACGTTCGCGTTGAACACTGCTGTCCACAGTTCCACGGGAACCAGCCCTGCCATGCTCAACTACGGTAGGCAGCCGAAAGCCCGAACACCCTTTCGAGACCAATGGACGAGCTTGCGGCCCGAGAGGAAGGTTTGCTCCGAATCGGACAATGGAACGAGCATATGAAGAATAACCTATTCGTTATTCAGCAAGCTCGTGAAATCGCTTCGGACGAGTCCCTGAGGCAGGCGATATATTATAACGCCAAGCACAGAACCCTCGGATTTAAAGAAGGGGACTAGGTATGGAAGAAAAATCGCGTATTGTCCAGTGCGACGCAGGGTATTTCCGCAAAACTAGCGTCAAAATTCGTTGGTCCCTTTATTGTCACGAAAGTACTCGGAGTAAACTCGTACCGCCTTGCCAACCAGCAGGAAGAGGTCAAGGAATTGGTCCACGCCAAAGACCTCAAACCCTACTATAGACAGGAGGATACCTTGCCGAAAGATGAAACCCGACAGCGAGATGACGACGATACCCCTACCACCGAGGGAACCGAGGCGACGAACATCCCGCCTACTGCGAGCGATGCGACAACACACAGAAACGGGCGCGCCGTTACTACGGATAACACACTCCGGAATAATTACGCGACAACTTCGAGCCACCCTCGTTACGACCCTTCCAATCCCCCTGAGAAGATCCTGATAATCACCTCTTCAACTAATGCGGTAAAGCGCCCACGAGGAAGACCTCGCAAGAACGCGCTAAATACCCGAACCACCTCATACCGACAAAATCCACGTATCTCCCCTCCCGTCGTCGTGAAAAGGAAGAGGGGTAGACCACAGAGAACACCGACCGTGGATGCATGGGGCCTTGCGAACGAAGGACCTGGGAGACCGACGCAAAGGACCCCATCTTCAATCCCCGCGACGAAGGTCCTGGGCAGCCGAACATGCGCCCACCTTCGATACGCGAGAAAAGGGGTCACCGATATTGACATGTAGAACTGTTACAGGATGAAGATTTCGTACGAGCAATTTGAGGAAGCGGCAGCCGTCCTCATCAGGCGGGACCTAGGTCCCGCCGTCGAGGGAGTCGTGCACGCTGCCCTGCACCTCCTCGTCGAGAAAAAGAAAGAAGAGGAGGGAACACGGGTGAGAGATCACGAGAGCTCGTCATCCGTGGTGATTGAAGAGATGACGGACGACGAGCCCCAGCGCCCATCAACCGTGAAGGCCGTCGTACGAGAGGAGGCGGCATCGCTACCCGGAGCACCGACGGGAGCAATTCCCATGAGGGCCCCACCAACCTCCACGGACACCCAGACGGAGGAAGCCTATACCGATGCGACATGGCGCCCCAAGTTCACTAGCCAGGCATCCTCGCCTGGCGAACGAACCTGGGAGGAGATAGTGGAGGGCATGAGGGAGGTCGAACAAGGCTGGACCACCCTCAATGCTCTCCAACGAGCCGTGTACGCGGAATACGATGCGTACTCGGCTGCGGGACACCGCCCCAGTGATATGGAGTACTGGAGCAAGGTTGTGTCCTGCCAGCACCAGTTCGCACAAACGCTGAAGGAGGTCCAGCACCGTCACCGCCAGGCCCTCGAGTGCCCGGTTGGTGACGCACCAACTTGCCCCACCCAGCCTTTAGCTGCCGGAGTCAGACCAGCGACTCCGGAGGTCAGGTCGGAAGCCACCACTCACCGAGGTCAACGGACGTGCGGAGTAAACCTCGTGGTGAACGTGGACGGCAGCAACGGGGCTCAAGCAACGGGACCCATCCACATAAATCTTATGGTGGGGTCCACAGGTGAGGACACTATGGTCGAACGACCGCTGTGGTCCGCCACGAACCGGCGTGACGGGTTACCGCTGACTCCCAGGGAGCGAGGCCTCCCTCGGGGCACCCTGTCCCGCGCACAGTGGGAAGGGTGCACCGTTTGCCACTACCTCGGGATGACCCGCACGGATCGTTGCCCCCGTGTCCGACAACATGCCGACCTGGTCTAAGAGAGGTTGGGATGGGAGGCGCGCGGACGTCCCCCGTTGGACGAAGAAGGCCGGGAGGTAACCCAGTGACCATCTGGGTGAAAGGGCCGCGCCCCCATTTACGACAAATAAAAACAGGGAATATCACGTAGAACATGACCTTTTATTGACCTTTACCCTCTTAACCTCGAAATAAGTAGCGCTAATAATTCTATCGTCGAGGACCCCATAGGTCAAGACTGGAAGGGGGCTGCGACGGTAAACGTCCCATTAGCGCTAGCAGCCCAATCACGCGGCTGCCTGCGAGGGCAGCACCTACCGGTTGGGGAAAAATGTAACGAGGGAATTCGGCACGAGACGGGACGGAACGCGCGCGAATATAAATGAACTCGTCGCGGATCAGCAATCCGAGTGTCTAGCTGCAGTGAGCAATAATAAAGAAGTTTTCCCGAGTTTTTGGAGAGTACCGAGACGAGTTAGCTGATCTATCAAGAGGAGCTGCGCCTTGGTTTAACAAGAGCGAGTATGAGCGTGTGAACGTACGTGAGTGGAGGGTTTCGCCATCGAGGGCGAAACCAAAAAGCGTGAGACACCTTACTAGCAGATAAACAATTGGAGAAACTAGCGTGCGCCATGCAGGTATTCTCTACCTCGCTTGTTGCCTGTGCGACCGTTAATAAGGTATGCTGGCCAGCTTAATATCGCGATTGCTGTATGATTGATAATAACTAATCCCCCGTACTCAGTAAGAAGCGTGCATGTATTAACTCGGCGAACAAAGAGCGGCGAGCGATCCGACACTGCATGTTATTGTCGCGCGCGCGCTTTGTAAACATAAACACGCAGGCCGAAGATATTGTAGAGATAAGAGAAAATAAACGATCTCGCATGTGATATTGACTGTAATTTTGAAGTTGTTGTTTCTCGCTGGTAGAAGATTGGTTGACTGACGCCCGTTCCCTCCTGCTCCCCGGTTGACGAGTTTGAACGTTTAGACGATCCCGCGCGTTCTTCGATGCGATCGCGTGCTTCAATAAAAAGTCGTAGCATTGACCCCGTTACAACACATATAAAAGTACTTTATTTCTTCAAATATTTAAGATGTTTTGTTATAAACTTTAATAAGATCCGAAAAAAATTTGAAAAATGATTTATTATTTCGTAGGCTATGACATTAACTGCTCATCTTCTTTGCATTTTTACTTTTAATCCAATTATTATAATAAATTATTGAATCTTACCCTTTCGTAATAATGCAAGTATTTTTTTAATGCTTCACGTGCTTGAGCATGAACGCTTTCATGAGCAATATTTGGATTTTCTTTATATCTTGAACATTCATAATATTCACTGCCATGCGTTTTCCAATCTCCTAGACACATCCAGCAAAAATCATGTTTACAGTTATAGCATTGCATATGATTGCAACCTCCATTTTTTTCTATACATATATGACATTTAGGGCACTAAAAAATATGGATTTGTTTATCAGAATTATGCATTGTAAATTAATAATAACGAAAAATAATAAATTTACATCTTTTGTATGCGCACTAATGTAATTAGCTGTTTCTGAATCATCAGCACACTTTGTCAGCCATTTTCGTATAGTACTACAATCTGTTGGTGCGTGATAATCCATACCACACCGGAAACAAAATACTGTTTTACAAATATTACATATTACTCGTTTAGACCGTGGTTCTTTGGATTTTATTACTATTTGACAATTAGGCCCAGGGCAGAATCGCAGCTGCGGATGTGATTTGACATAATCTCGAAAAACAAATTGTTGATATCGTTCTCGCATAACAGGCTTCGTTAAGAGAGATAATACGAAATCTTCTGGTGCTAATGCATTACAATTATTTGCCATACAACTGATACCTGCAAAGTTAAAAACTATGTCATTCTTTTCGATTACTGATATAAATAGTAAGCAATAAATAGTAAGCATAAATAAGAAAATGTCGTAAATAATTGATCTCTCAATAGAAATACCCCATGTTTTCATTTCTGAATTACATAACACTTCGTTTCGGGTGTGTGTAAGAATATATATATCTGCGTATACGTAAAAGGTGTAATAAATTCGCAAATATCTTTTCTTACAAGAAAATATCTCATTAAAATGTAGACATTTGTTTCGAAACCAACGAACATTTTAAGAAAGATTAAAAAGTAATAGATGAGTAAGCATTAGTAATTACATTACTAATTACTAATTACAAAAAGCTTTAGTAATTACAAAAATTATTGGATATTATATAAGGATACAAAAGTGTTATGCTTTTTCTATCTACAATAACTATTAGCATTGATGTGAACGTCATTTATTGAGCCCCTTATGAAAATTGCGAAAGAAATTTTAATAAATGAATAAACGCAAGACAATTTCATTCATTTTAATATTTTTTACTATGGGCTACGAGTTCTCCTACTGTAAAAGAAATAGACGAAATATTGACGTTCTCCAGCTGTGAGTTGCCTGAGAGATGGCTCACAGTAGTTGACAATATGCGATCACGTCGTTACTTTGGGGACTATATTTCCGGCGTGGATATAAAACAGCTAAATCAATATTTATGTAATAGTTAGATTAAACAGGTGATTAGGTTATAATCTAGTGAGTTTATAATTTAGTGATTAAAATCGCGTTGAATTGATAGTGCAGCCAGAGTCGAATGTCTTTGACTGCGGATGCGAAATGCCTTCGACTGAGGTTATACGAGGGTCATTTGAAAAGTCCGTGCAAAAATATAAACTGCGTGTTTTTTTTTAATAAATCTTTTTTATTCTACAACATAGTCTCCTTTTAGGCTTATACACTTCATCCAACGCTGCTCTAGTTTGTTAATCCCTTTCAAATAATAGGATTTGTCCAAGTCTTTAAAATAGGCATTCGTTTCTGCAATCACCCCCACGTTTGAATAAACTCTTTTCCCCGCCAGCCATTTTTTCATATTAAGGAACAAATAGTAGTCCGACGGAGCCAAGTCTGGAGAATAGGGGGGATGTGAAACGAGTTGGAACCCTATCTCCATCAGTTTTGCGGCCATAACTGCTGAGTTGTGAGCTGGCGCATTGTCGTGGTGGAAGAGAACTTTTTTGTGGGCCAATCGTGGACGTTTCTCTACCAACTCGGTTTTCAAACGATCCAATAACGATGAATAATATTCGCCTGTAATGGTTTTACCCTTTTCCAGATAGTCGATGAAGATTATTTCTTGCGAATCCCAAAAGACAGTCGCCATAACCTTCCCGGCCGAAGGAATTGTCTTCGCCTTTTTCGGAGCAGATTCCCTCTTGGTAACTCATTGTTTAGACTGTTCTTTGGTCTCAGGAGTATAGTGATGTATCCATGTTTCATCTATAATGATGAAACGACGCTTAAAGTCTTGCGGATTTTGCTGGAACAGCTGCAAACCATTCTTGCAACACTTCACACGATCTCGTTTTTGGTCAATCGTGTGCAATCGCGACACCCATCTAGCGGATAGCTTTTTCATGTCCAAATGTTGGTGCAAAATATTATGTACCGGTTCGTTCGAGATGCCTACAGTACTAGTAATCTCACGCACCTTCACTCTTCCGGCAGCCATCACCATATCATGGATTTTATCAATGATTTCTGAAGTGGTAACCTCAACAGGGCGTCCAGAACGTTGAGCGTCTTTTGTGCTCGTATGGCCACTCCGAAAATTTTGAAACTACTTCTAAACCATTCTAATCGAAGGTGCACAATCACCATAATGTTTATCAAGCTTCTGTTTAATCTCCTGAGGTGTTTTGCCTTTGAAAAAGTAATGTTTAATCAATATACGAAATTCTTTTTCGTCCATTTTTTTACAACCACTCGATTTCTTTGATTGAAACGAATGTAAAACGCAAAGTAATTGGCCGATCTTGCTGAAACTTGGTGCGTGCTCTTCCAAGATATGCCACTAACTAAAAATAACCTTGATACGCACTAGTAGCGCCATCTCTCTGACTTTGCACGGACTTTTCAAACGACCCTCGTACATGTCACTTGCTCAAATCTTAAATGAGCTCTCAGCAACTGGTGATCAACAGTATTCAGATTATCCTAGGTTAAATTATGGGAAATAACGAGGCTTAACTAAATACGATTCTAGCGAAACTAGTAACGGATAATATTAAACATTATTGCAATCATTATTTTTAAATTCACAAATTCGATCCACGTTTGAGGTTCTTTGGATCTCACTTCTCACTGATGCGCTAGGTTGTTTATGAAGTAGAAAATAAGAGCATTGTCATAATGGTTGTGGATTGAAAAAACTAAAATCTGTTAGATTAACTGGCAATTGGCTTAGAAATGATCTTTCTGTTCTGTTCACGGTTCTTTCGAGTCGTAGTTTTTCTATAAGCCGCAAGATGGATGTCAGAATAAAGACAGCGATGTACATCCATGATGTGTTAATTCTCTATTCTTGTCCTGTGATATCACGATGTCGATGACCGTAAATGTATGATGATTTGAAGTGTGATTAATCCACAACTTTCACACACACACATATCTCGTATCATGTCTTACTTTAAGCATCATTCTAGGAGTTTTGTTTTCAAATATATGCTCTTCTTTGATTTTGTCTTTACGAATAGGTCCCGTCGATCGTAAGCCACATTTATCCAAGTGAACGATTAAATCTAGACTGCTGAAATAATTATCAAAAATATGATAGTCAGAGAGTTTTTTTTTTTTTTGAAAGGTTAAGTAGAAATGAATTGATCATTAGTAAAACTACTCTGGAGTCAAGTGGGTACTACGATAAATTTATTCCAATGCTTGTGTAATTCTTACCACAATAAATGTCTACATTGAATATATATTTATTTGTCATACATAAGCTCTACAGCTTTATCCAATATCTATCATGATTGCAAGATAAATATTGTTTTAGGCACGTACGTCTGAAAAATTGAATCATCAAGTCGTTCAAGGAAAGAGCAGTTGAAAAAACCAAATTATTGAATATTTCTTTAGAACTATTCAAATTTTTTCAGACTTTTCAAGCCTTATCTTGAAAGGGTATAACATAGAGTGGAGAGACTCAAGAAGGGAAGGAAGAAGGGGGAGGAATAATGGCAGTAACAGAGAGGAAAGGGATGAGTAAGGTTGAATGGAAGAAAAAATGGACAAGTGAGGTAATAGCAGGAGAAATAAAAATTCGGTGCGAGGAAATACGTGATAGCAACGGTATATATGCAAAATGAGAAAAAGGAAAACTATGAATCCCTAAGCGAAGAGATAGAGGAAAACAGAGGAAAAACAATAATTATAGGAGGAGACTTCAACGCAAGAACAGAAAATGAAGGGAAAGAATGGGAGACAGAAGAAAACCTAGAAGAAATTAAGGACAAGGATAAAGTGTTAAACGGAGAGGGAGGAGAAATGTTAAAATGGCTAGGAGAAATGGGTTTAGTGATAACGACTGGGAGAAAAGAAGGAGATGAAGAGGAAGAAATAACATATATAGGAGCGAGAGGAATGTCAACGATAGATTATGTAGTAGGTAACGAGGAAGGTGATGAGGCAATAAAAAGGGTTTAAATAAAAGAGAGGGTAAAGTCGAACCACTTACCAGTAGAAGTGGAATTGGGAGACAAAATAGAAGAAGAAAGAAAAGAAGAAGAAGAAAGAATGGTAAACGACTAGAGCGAAGAAGGCATAAGAGAGTATCAGAGATGGATAGACGCAATAGAGGAAACAGAAAAATGGAAAGATATAAAAAAATAGAGTGAGGAACGCAGTCGTAAAAAAGAATATAAGGGAAAAAATAAGATCAAAAAAAAGCTGGCGGAGAGAAGAATGTAGGATAAAAAGGGCTAGGGTGATGGCAGAGTTAAATAAGGTAAGAAAAAGGGAAGGAGACAGAAGCAAAGAATGAATGCAGAGAGGAAATAAGAAAAGCGAAAGAAGCAAAGAATGAATGCAGAGAGGAAATAAGAAAAGCGAAAGAAGCTGAGGGGAAAAAAGTGGCAAAAGAAATAAGAAAAGATAAGACGAGAAGAAACTTCTGGGATAAAGTTAATTGCAATAGGAAGAAAAGAATTGGATTAGATGAAAACATAGGAAAAGAAGAATGGTTAAAGCACTTCAAGGAACAATTAGGAGAAAAAGAAAAGGAAGAAAGCAAAGGAGAAGAATCCGAAGACAGCGAAGGAGAGGAAGGTGAAGAAATCAAAGTAAGAGAAGTAAAAGAGGTAATAGGAAAAATGAAAAAGAAAAAGGCGACAAGAGAAGATGGTATAGCAAAAGAAGCGTGGATGGAAGGCACGGAAGGCTTGTTAAAAGATATGACAAAATGCTTAAACGGACTATGGAACGAAGAAGAATATCTGGAAGAATGAAGGATGGGAATAATCGTACCAATATATAAAAAAGGGAGGAAAGAAGAAGTAAAAAACTATAGAGGAATAACGTTGATGGACACGGGATATAAAATATATGCGGAAATACTGAGGAAAAAGCTGGAAAGAGAACTAGATGAAAAAGAAACGCTAAGCTATACGCAGATGGGATTCAGGAAGAAAAGAGGAACAATGGACGCAATATATATATATTAAAAACAATAATAGGGAAGGAAATAAGTGAAAAAGGATGAAAACTGTACGTATTCTATGCTGACATGAAGGCCGCTTTTGACAAGATGAAGAGGAAGAAAATATGGGAAATTATGAAAGAGAAAAGAATAAATGGGAAAATTAGGAAAAGAATAGAAGAAATATATAAGAAAATAGGGAGTAAGGTAAAAGTTGTAGGAGAAATAATTAGGAAGTTTGAGACTTACAAAGGCGTAAGGCAAGGGTGCCCTTTGAGCACCACGCTATTTAATCTTGCCTTCGCCGACCTGGAAGTCAAG